TGTTATGAATGTGGTAAGCAAGATCATATCAAGCCAGATTGTCTGAAACTCTCCAAGAAAGGTGGCTACAAAAGCAAAAATAGATTCAGGAACAAAAAGGCCTACGTTGCATGGGAGGATAATGAAATAAGTTCCTCATCCGATTCCGATAGTGATGAAAGTTCAAATCTAGCATTGATGGCCTCACACCATTCTGATGATGAAGACAATGAGGTTAGTAATGAATTTTCTCTTTTTTATAGTGATGCATAAGGTGCTATAGATGAACTATTAAATGAATGCAAAATTCTATATAAAACTATTTCATCTCAAAAGAAACAAATTTCATCTTTAGAAGAAAAATGTGAATCTATGGAAAAAGACTTCAAAGAAGAAAAACAAAAATTAAGTAATGAACAAAAATAGAATTTTGTATGCAAAAATTGTGAATCACTCTCTTTCCAAATTGTCCAATTAAAAAGAGTCATTGAAAGATATGAAAAAGGCCAAATTGGATTGGAAGGTGTTCTTAGCCAACAAAGATACTCTAATGATAAAAGTGGACTTGGATATTCAAAGTTTTCAAAACCAAGTTCTAATAAAACTATCTTTGTTAAGGCTAGTGATCAATCATCCAAAGAGAAAGTGAACAAACCTAAAATAGTTCATCACTATCCTAAAAATAAAACATTTCCTAAGAAGAAATCTTATCCTTCTAGATATAGAAGTAACTTTGAACCTACTTATTTTTATTGTGATATTAAAGGCCATACACCTAATGCTTGCTATTTTAGAAACTTTAGTGTGGCAAGTGGGCATTATGTGTGAGACTTTACTTTTCCCCACTTTTATTGTTGTCATATATTGTTAGTAATTATGGTGTGTATGGAAAGACATGAAATCGACAAATAGATAATCCTAATCAAGATTGAATGCATGCAATCAACTACACTTTTCACACATGCACCCCTTAGGGTAATCTCATTTGCTACCTATCAAAAATAGTCATGTCCCTCGAACATGGGTGTTTTAGCAAAGACCTTCAATAAAAGATCGTAGTCCCTCGATGACCCTCTATGTTTCCTTCGGTAAACGATCTAATCCCTAAACAATATTGCTAAAACGTCCTATAGGTCGCCTTCTATGAATATACAAAACGTCCTATGCCCGTCCCCTCACATCCTACGATGTGGCTTCTCACCAAAACAATGATAATATTACAACATCTAAAGGAGGAGGAAAAGAACATCTAAAACATTTTGAGTAGGTAGATTTGCTCCTAGTTTCCCGCTTGCTCACAACAAAAACATTTTATACACCGACACACTCATTTGAAACATTTTCAAAAGACAAACATTTTGTACGCGTTCTTATAGAAACGAGAACCATTACAAAGATATTTTCAAAATACTTTTAAAAACCACACCACAAACACACACTCGAACAAAAGCAAGTGATCTAGCAAGCAACTAAGAGCCCGTAGATAACTACGAATGAAAGGGGTGCTAATACCTTCCCTTTTTATAATCTACCCCCCGAACTCAAGAAAACATCTCTAAAGGTCTTTCCTGTTCTTTTCAGCCTTTCCTTATTGGATAAAAGAAAAGTAGGTGGCGACTCTTGCTATCCGCAACAATTGCGATCAAATGCAAAAACCACAAGTCAAATCTCCTACCGTATCACATGTGGCTTCTACATAAGTCCACTTACGATTTCTTAACATAGCGCTAAATTTGTCCCGATTCAAAAAATGATCATTTGTGGCCCAAACCTATGTTTGCAAGCCCAAATATGTTTAATTTGAAATCTTAGATCCAATAACTTTAAAGTTCATTGTTATGAGGCTTTGATTCTATCAATCCTCTAATGAACTTCATGAATTTTGGTCTAAGTGAATCATTTGAACATCGTTGATCATATGTGGTTGCTTTGAGCACTTGAAATGAATGATATATTTGACAAAAAAGCAAATGAAACTTGTTGTTGAGAAGCTTTGATTTTATCAATCTTCTAATGAGTTTTCAAAAGCAAGCTTCAAGATGATCATTCAACTAACATTTTATTATATTTGACCTCTAACTTCTAATTCACTAACAATTAACTTTACTTTATGCCTTTATTTTGTGCCTTTACTTTTATGTACCAATTATTTTTTAGCATTTACATTTCATGCCATTTTTTCTTTTGCACACTTGAGCATTTATTTTTATGTCTTTTTTTTCTTTGCTCACTTGAGCTTTTTTTTCTTTTAAAGACACTTAATAATCAACTTGAACATTAAAAGCTTTAAGGTTACTTGGACTAATTGGTTACTATCCATGGCATTGTGGAGTTGTGGATCTCTTGGACTTAAGATTAGAAGCCTTAATATTTGGGGATCTTGTTGCTCTGTCGTTATACTGTCGGAAATCATTGGGGTTTACTCCAAGACATTGATTTGAATTTTTTTTTCGTGTGCAAGTTATTCTGATTTTCATACTTTGTTTGTAATTGAGAGTTCCTCTATATACAGTTGTTACTCTGACTAATTTTTATCAATGAAGACTTTGCTCGGTTCTTAATTCATCTGAAGCTTGGTATTCCTTGGAGGTTTAGTATTTTTTCTCGCTTAGTTTTAATCTAAAGGATGAGAATTCTACATTGACTTCTTATGTCAAGTGTTGGCTTCTTAATTGGTTAGACCGTCCTTTACCTTAGCTTTTACTTTGTGTATATAGGATAGTCGCTTCATCTCCTCCTATCTTATTTAATTTTCAAAAATCTTCTCCCTCATTTTCAAAACTCCTCTTGTTTTCCAACGTGAACCGCTTTCATAATAAACTTGGACTTAGGTCCATGCATTTTCAAAAAAAAATTCTTAATCAAACTTTAATCAATTTAATCATACTTTGACATCTTTCTCAAGACTAAAAGTTGTTAACCTTATTCAAACCATTTTTCTACGTTGCCTTTTTACTTTAAAACTTTTCTCAAAAGATTAGACTTGTCGATTCTTGTAATGATACGAGCTACTATACTTCTAAGATATATATTGAAGTGAGATATTTTTCACTTAGGTGTTGAGTGAGGTTTTGTTAATTTTAAAATCCAAGCTATATCCTCCACTTTGAGATGATGCAAATTCTCCTTTCTCATAATCGTGGATAGTAAGTATGTTTTCCACTTGGATATTACGATGATGTCTCTTCTCTTAAACTTAACCAACACACATGTGTTTTTTTAAAATTTTTAAGGTGAACTACGAGTACCCTGATTCCCTATTGTATGGAAGGTGATACATAGGCACTAAAGATTTGCAACTGCGGCGGGTGCAAAATTGTAAAAAATACTTCTTTCTCTCATCTCCACCATATTATTTTGTATATATCTTTTATAACTAAAATACACAGATTTTCAAAGAGGCTCCTGCGGAGTACCGTAGATGTTTATGGTGCTAATACCTTCCCTTTGCATAACCAACTCCCGTACCTAGACTCTCTTCCCCTCTTTTTTAGGTTTATTCTCTCTTTTTCCATTTCTTTTGGAAATAATAAAGCGAGGTGGCGATTTTTTTATTTGATTTGTACGAGTTAAGTCAATTCAATGGCTTAGTCTCAATATTTCTCCCACTACAAGGATCATAACCTAAGATCCAGAATCTAAAAACCTATACTTTGGAAGAGCTCAACCTATGAAGTTCTCAAACTCTGAAGAAGGTCAGCGCAAGGATCAAGAAGACTCTGATAGGTCACTATCAGACTCAAAAATCATTTTGTCTTCTTCTGATCACGTGCAGATGCAAACAAAAATCTGCTCAGAAAGCTGGGATGCAACAGATAGTTCCTCTTGTAGCGAAGGTAATTCAAATTTCTTTCCAACGACATTAACTATATCAAGAAATATTCCAACATCCATGATCAAGCTTCTCCAAGACTATCTTATGCAAGCTCTTCTCTTCAACGACTATTTTATGTCTCTTTCTATACAAGGAGATGAAGACTTGAAGAAAGAACCAACGAATCATTGACAATCAAAAGAGTTATTACTCTCTTAAATCAAAAGCACAAGTTTAACTTATCATTTTTATATTAGAAATTCATGTCTTAAGAGTCTTTTTGTGGTGTATTTTGTTCACACTCTGATTGTATATCAAATGTAATATTCAAACAATTTTGAAATTAGAATGTTAGAAGTCTCTTATTTGCGTGTCTCATTCTTTCACTCTTATTTTGTGAGAGGAACCAGAATAAAATTGCTTGTGTCTCTCTTTCTTTTACTCTCTATCTCTAAACTTGTTTTTATCTATATCAAATTCTAAACTTTGTATTTAGAATCTAATAAGAGAATTTTGCAAAAGAAAGAAAAAACTTACATTTAACCGGTAAGTTGATTTATCACACACAACACTATTTCCTTGAAAAACTGTCGCTTTCAATAGTCTTATTCTTGTTTTCCACTACAATGAGTGCATCAAAGAGGTTTTTGCTTTCCACATGAAATCAAAGTAAATATGCAATTTCTTTTTCATATTCACCTTTTTTTTCTATTCTAATTTAGTGCCTAAAAACGATTCTTTAAAAATGATTTGTTACTATATGATATGAGATATCATCATGACATTGATTCATGTCAGCGTTTGTTTGAACCCGTGACATCCCACTTATTCAGCCACTAGTGTACCAGACAAAAAAAGATTGAGATAGAAACCTCAATAAACTATCACAAAGATTGAGACACAAACCTCAAAATGAGTCACAGCAATGAAAAGATATTTTTTTATTACATGTCAAAGTTGTCAGTAACATTACACTGAATCATGTTGATTTGACAATCATCAATTTAGCTATCAAACTACAAATTGAGCAAACACTACTAAACTATTTCAGATTAAATTTAATTCAAATTACATTGCACAACAATGACAAAAACCAGCATTGTTGATTAGAACTGAGAAAAAGGATCATGCAGTACCTGATTTTCTCATATGTCAAAAACTAATTCATAAAGCACTAGTAAGGTGTATTTGAATTGAACCATCTTAGTCAAGCAGGTTTCCAACACGAAAGGGCGAACACAATTCGCCCTTTCCAACCTTGCAATAGCCACTTGCTATCTTCGTCGATTACAAAATCTTTGTGGTAGCTAGTTCTTACTTTCTGCACTGCCCTTTCTACCGTGTTTTTGCCGAAAGTTAGTTGTGAAAACCCGGCTCGGAGAATACGAACTTGCCACTGCCTATATGTCTCTGGTCTCTCTACTCTCTCACAACCTTCACAAGCTGTAACATTCAATGCTTCCTTCCCAAATATCTCTTTCTCAATTAGCATCCTTTCCCAATCCTCGCGAGGCACAATACTTTCGAGCATATCGAAAAGTGAAGAGAAGTGAAATAACGCCTCTCTAAACCGAGTAACAAAGAATGGCGCATTAAAGGCTCCGTTCGTAATGCCGTGAATGAATATATCAGGTTTGATCCTCCTTATCAAATTGAGGAATTTGTTCCTTGGACTGTCTACTACGACGGATTCATCCAGCAAGTTTTTACCGCGATAAAAACAGGTAACAACAAGGTATTCGTCTTTGTCGATCTTGAGTTCCTCGAACTGAATGGTCTCCCACTTTTTCGCTATGGCATTGTACTCAAATGGCACTTTAAAAGTTTCAGCATATGCTGCCAAGCGCTTTCCGGTCTCTATAATTCTCTCTGCGGGCCTGAAACCAGGTTGTGGAAAGTCTATTCCTGTAATCCGAAGCTTTGGTGGTCCTCCCAATCGTAACGAAAGTCTTTGTATAAAGGTAGGCCATTGGAAACCATAGAGGATGCCAAAGTCTACAATATGGACCCTTGTTGAACTTGCCGAAGAGTTCATTATAGTAACATTTGAGACGAAACTAGTCATCTTTCGAAAAGGGCAAGCAGCAAGGTATAGATGATAAGCTTTCAGATAATTGGCAGCAGATGTTCTTTTACTGATTAGTCCTTTATAAATTTGGCTTCCAGTACCAGCCAAACGTGCCTCGAGGCCATCGGCAAATATATGAGCCAACCGCTGATTTCCATCTCCGAAAGGGTTCGAGTGTTGCCTGATATGCTTTAGCAATTCGTGCGCACTTTTATGATCGTCTGCTGCAACAGCCTGTGCACAAAGAACAAGCAGTGTTCTCAAATCAATCACTTCCTTTTTTCCGTTTTGTTTTTTACCTTTACCTCGTCCTTTTCCACTAGTACGAGCTTTCGATTTATTACTTGGCACCATATTGTTCTTAGTTTGCAAGGCCTCGCGACGAGCCGTAAAATGCTTCTTACCATCTCCTAAACTATGAAGCAGGATCGCATCGGCCAGATTTGACCTCAACATAGGATCCGAGTAAATCGCCGCTTGCTTGCTGCTTCTGTTTTCTTCGACGTCTCCCTCATTGTCGTAATGATGCTTCCTTCCCTTAGAAAGAAAGGACTCTCTCTCACCCTTCTCCACCTTAACTGATAATTCATCTCTCACCGATTCAGGCTCTAGTATCGAAAACTTAGAACCGTCAAAATTTTGAAAGAGGCCATTTCCACTTGGGAGAAACTTATTAGCCTCCTCAACGCCCTTTTGAAATTGCAAAATCGGTTGACTCCCGCTAATCTGATCCGAAACATGTAAAATACTATCTGGAGAATCCAAAAGCCCTTCCACAGTACTTTTTACGCTATTTGTAGAGCTATGAGATGATTGTGAAACACTATTTCCTTGAAAATCTGGTTGAGGAAACTGAATTTCCCTCGAGTTTCCACGAAAAGAATTCTTCGTAAAAATGCAACTAAGATCACCATCATCAACACAAGTACCATAATCATCAAAGAAGTTACTATCTCCAACATACTCATTTTGATTACAAACACTTGTAAGTAGTCCTAATGGCGAAACCGAAACCGGGTACTTTTCGCCTATTACTTCATAGAATGATTTCTCAGCAATTTGAAGATCTAAAGAATCTTGAAGCATACATGTTTTATCTTCCATATCTTCTTCCATAAGGATGTTATTAATGTAATTCAAAACAGCATCAGAAAACTCACAGTCCTCAGGAGACTGTTCCTCGTGCGTCGAAACCGAGGTTATTGTCGAAGAAGGCGTACAATCAGCCGCTGCCAAATTGGAACCAAATTCAAATCTCTGATTCTGAATAACCGGAAAAGATTGATTCCCAAACCGGATCTCATTCGTGGAACCACAAAACCCATTGAGATGTGGATCCATCATAATCTATTTTTTTTTCAAGTTCTTCACACATAAAAATTCAATCTTTAGTCCTAATTAGTCTTCAAATAAACGACCCTTTTCCTTCAAAATCAAAAAAGAATCATCAAAATTCACCCTGAACCCTAATAACATAATTCATGAATTGGGGTGCAATAAAAACATTAAAAAATTGAAACTTTCAAAGATAGTATTAAAAAAAAAAGACTAAATTTTTACACTTTACTAGATAAAGATTGAAACATGAAGATCAATAAGTCAATAAGTGGAAGAAAATCAAAGAAGCAAAAAAGAAAACAAATTGTGATGGTAATGGAAAATAAATAGCTACTACTATTACATGAATAAGAACAGACAAATATGGATGCATAGTACTAGAGATAGAAGTGAGACAAGTTCTTATGTTTACCTTTTCTTCAGAGAAGAGACACGCCACTACACAGACAGCACTGGTTCCTAGAGAAAGCAAGTGTTGGAGAGAGAGAGGAAAAAGGGCGCTGAAAGACTTAAGATCTGTTTTTTAGTTTCACTTTCATGTCAAAGGTGATCATTATTTTTTAATGGTTAAGACTAGTACTATTACAAAAGAATCAAAATAGAAACTTTTTTTTTGTTGCTTTTTTTAAATAGTGAAATTTTGTATTTTATTTAAAATTTTAAATTTTCCTTTATTAAAATTCTAAATAATATTTGATTCACGATGAGAATAGGTCAAACCATTTTATAAAAATTTATAATTTAATATATTCATGGTTATGTTTGTCCAACTTATTTAATAAAAAAAGTCAAACTCTTTAAAATCTTATTTATTTAAATAAAACAAAGTTAATAAAATTATTAGATCATAAATATAAAATAGTAAAGTACTAATAATTATTAATTTTAAGTAAAATAATAAAATAAAATTTTAACACAAAATTAATAATTTTAAAATATTTAACATTTAATATATTTTTAAATAGGCTAGTAAGTCTAGCCGACATATAAAAGATCAAACTCAAACATAAAATCAAAATTTCAACGGTTGATAATTCAAATTCAAACTTTAACTTTTAAAATAAATATGATTTATTTAATTAAAATTTAATACAACCTATTTTCTACTTTATTTTTAAATTTTGAGTTTTTTCCTTTCATCCATCTCTCTCATTTAACTAAAACAAATGTAATAATAAAAAAAATTATATATATATATATATATATATATATATATATATATATATATATATATATATATATATATATATATATATATATATATATATATATATATATATATATATATATATATATATATATATATATATATATATATATATATATATATTGGACCGTCACAGCTGGTTTGAACTAAATTTAAAAGAGGTGGGGGATACCTGCAAGACACTCCGATGATAAAGTGAGAGACAGAATGAGCAGGCGAATAATATGTAGGTGTGGATGAATGAATACCCGACCCTCTTGAAGTAGAGGGTATTTATAGTCCCCAGCGCTGGGCCAAGGTCCCTTCATTGGACTGACCAAACAAGCCCAACAAAGGGACTGCCAGGTTCCATGTGGAGTAGTGGGGACCTGCACGTGGTCCCCTACCTGGATGATGCTCTCCGCAAAAATAGGGAGGTGAAGACGCGGTCTTCTCGGGACCCTGAGGGCTCCGAGATATTCAGAGAGGTCGAGTTTTCCCTATGAGGAATGTGTCCGAGCAAGTCCTGGATTGAGGCGTTCCTCGCCTGGGATGCCCCTAGTCGGGGACAAGCGTTACGGTCAGCGGCAGGCATAATTGTGTTCGACGACGCTCATGATCGAGGCGTGTCGGGGATTCTAATACTCAGCATGGTATGTTGTAAAGCTTGGATTGGGCCTCGCTGGTAATTGGGCTGCGGGCAGGCCCAGTCCAGAACAGGGGCCCCCCCAAGTCGCTGCTCCTGGTACGGGAGTTGTGACTTGACTCAAACTCGTTGTTCCGCGAGGTTCGCTTGCGCGACGCAGGGGCTTCCAACCGGGGAGAATAGGCATAGCCCGGTTTGTGATTTTCCCCGTGTATCGATCGAGGATCGTTCGAGGAATTTTTGCGGGGAGGCGGTGATGCGTTAGTTAGACACGTGGTGCGGCTCTTGGGAACCACAAACCCGACCTAGGGAGTAGGGCTACATTGTCTATGTCAGTAGGCGTCGAGGATGGGTGTGGTTCGTGGTTTCCCGATGCGATGTTTCGTATTCCACATCATCTCTATAAATAAGGCTCCAGGGCCCATAGTCTGTTTTACCTTTTTACGTTTCTCACACTTTCTCTGTTTTCACTACCGTAAGTTTTCATAACGTCGTTGAGACCGCCGCGCTGCTCGCCGTCTGATTACTTCCACCACTGTCGCTCTTCAAATTTTCTTCCAAGTAAGTGTCTTTTCTCTTTGATTTCTCGTATTGTAGATAGTTTTAATGACATTTTGGTAGTAGAAACGTGTGCCTGGGGGTTATGCCCGATATATTTAAGCGCGCTAGGCGCCTGATTCATGGTTGTGCCCGGGATATTCATAAATTTAGGCATATGGTTCCTGATCGTGCCAGTGACATTCATGCGTTTTGGTTGGTCGGTTCATAAACCTGGTCGGGAGATTCATCCTTTCGTTAGTATGTAGGCTAGTTTCCCCGTAATATTCTTGTACTGGGCCGTCGAAATTTTGAACCTGGTCGCGGTATCCGTGCCTCGCCTGAGGCACCCATGTTGTGCTTGTGTCGTTCATGACTGATGTGCGTCTGCCGCTGGGGGGTCGCTGTTTGGTTGAGATCCATTTGTTTCCCGTTTCTCGCGCGAATGGCTGTAGACTCGATTTGAGTGTCGCTTACTTCTCCCCGTCTTTGTGGCGGGCAAGCAGATTTGCTGTCGAATTCATCGGTTTCCTGTACTTTGCAGGTAAATAGGCGACATTCCCGAGTCCTCGGGGCGTAATGACGTCGAGGAGACGAGCACAACGGAAGAGACTATTACCTTGGTCGACACCGTCGATGACCTCACATTGGATTGGGTGGGTGCTGAGCCCCGGGGAATAGCTTCGGTGTATAGCCATCGTAGTAGACAAGCTTATACCGTCGTCGAGTATGGCGGTAGTCAAGAAGGGTTTCAAAGGAACTTCAAGATAATGAGGTCGGCGAGGGATGCTCGCATCTGTTCGGAGTTCATCCAAGATGCGTTCCCTATGTATGAGATCGTGTTCAAAGATCTTGGTCTTCGGTTGCCTTTCAACAACTTCCAGGTCAGGGTATTCAACCATCTGAACCTGGCCCCCTCCCAACTCCACTCCAACGCGATTGCCTTTCTCCTGGAATTCGAGCTCACTTGTCGTTTCCTGAGAATTGGGGCGACGATTCCCCTATTCTTCAGGTTTTTCCACTTACAACGACAGTCCCGAGGAGGGAAACACAACTGGGTGTCTCTTAAGCAGTCGAAGAGACTGTTTAGGATATACATGGACTCCGTGCGGAATTTTAAAGACAAATGGTATATACTGTAGTCGTCCATCCAGACGGCCTTGGATTCGTTGTTTGAACTGGCCATTATGGTCGACGAGGATGGGGAGCCCTGTTTGGACGCCGAGGGTAATCCCGAGGTCGGGTGGATCTCCAGATTCCCCCTTCATTGGTGCTCGGTTCATTACGACCATGGTCTGGGGTACTACCATACTCCTGCTGGGGGTATGAGTGTCGAGGACGAGGAAGCTTATGGCGTCCTGAACAAGTTTGTTGATGGCTTCTTTCCTGCCCGGTGGGTCACTAGGGAAGGGGATGCCATTCTTGACGAGGATGGCTATCCGACGTTCGAGGCGCGCCCGATTAACACCAAGGCGCTCGTCGAGTTCCAATCTTACGGGTAGACCGTAGATCTTTTAGGTTTCTTACTTTGCTCTTATTGTTGTTCCTTTTTAATTACCTTTAAGCACGTAGCTAACCTTGGTTCGCTTCCCTTGTAGGTCACATGGCGGAGGGTCGTGAAAGATTGCTGAAGTTGACCCAGGAAAAGAAGATAAATAAGAGACTGGTGAGACCGCAACAGGCCACACGGATGGGCCCGCCTGCTGATTCGGGCAGAGAAGGATCCAGTGGGTCCTCAGGTTCTCCCAACGCCGAGCGCCAAATTGCACTGGTCACCAGGAAGCAGAGTCGACCAGAGGATGGGGCAGAAGTGACTGATGGAGGTGCCTCTGCCCGGGCTTTCGGCCTACCACCATGTTTCGTGGAGAAAGACTTCCTTGAGGGGTTTCCCCTGACCGTGTCCGATAATGAGGCTGACATCTTTAGGCGGCTCGACAAGGAAGGTCGGAGGAAACACCTTGCTGCTAGTATGGTTGGTGTGGTGAAGATGGTCGATATGGCAGTGGTCCTCACGGGGGAAGGATCTGATTCCACGGACCGCGTTCGAGAGCTGGAGTCGGAGAAGGCGGCTCTTACGGCCAAGTCTCGCAAGCTGAAGGCAGCCCTCGAACGCTCCAAGGAAATGTTCTGCGAACAGTCTGGTTTGCTGTCAGGGGAGAAGGAGATGGCTGACAAAGCTCTCGAGGAGAGAGATTGTCTTCAACTTGATAGGGAACGGGTGGAGAGAGACAACCAATGGTTATAGAGAGAGATTGAGGACCTGAAATCCGCTATGCTGCCCGCCTAGGATGAGCCAGAGGGGATGACCGACTTGCGCACGCGCTCAAATTTTATTGCTCGCATCCACCTCTTAGAATCAGATTGCTTTGGTGCTCTGGCCGACGGGTTTGAGGTCGCGGTGAGTCATCTATCCGTGCTAAATTCGAGCTTGAACACCGAAGGGGTTGGAGTTCTCTCCCAGATCATCGACGGCCAGGTTGTGCCTCCCCCCGACTCTCCTGAAGTGGACGTCAGCACTCCAAGGAATGATTGATACTTTGTTGTTTAGGTCTGCGCGCCCGTTTGTTGTTTTTGGGGCCTGCGCGCCCGTACTTGTTTTTGGGGCCTGCGTGCCCGTACTTATTTTTGGGGCCTGCG